GCATATTGCTCTAATTTCCACCTGTTCTTGCGAAGTCTCAACATAAAAAATCCAATTTTGTACGAATGTAAATGAGCCAAGTTTTGAAACATTTAATATTTAGGAAATAGGTAATTAGACATTTGAGCATAGTAAAAAACAATCTATGTATAGACATCTACATTTCTCACATCAGTGTGTTTTTGAGAAATATTTTCTTTTAAGTACGATAGACCAACTAAAATTTTTCCCGGGCCTCTGAACTACAACAAACAGATCAAATTCCTAAAATATGAAGAAAAAAAAACAAAACAAAAAAACAAACAACAAAAACCAACAAAAAAAAAAAAAAAAAAAAAAAAAAAAAAAAAAAAAAAATACAAAAAAAAAAAAAAAAAAAAAAAAAAAAAAAAAAAAAAAAAAAAAAAAAAAAAAAAAAAAAAAAAAAAAAAAAAAAAAAAAAAAACTGTTCTGAAATTAACATTATTTTAATTTCAGAACAGTTTTTCTTTTTTTTTTTACATTATTTAAGTTCCATTTTAAGTATCTATAAGCATTAACGAATTTTGATATACTTGGTTTTCGTTGCACTTTATAAAATTGACAATAGGAAATTTTTTATATAAAAAGAAAAAAGTAGAACTTAGCAAATTCTACAAAAATATGAAGCTAACGCTTGTTTGTTGTATTAATAATTTAAAAAACAACTAACTATATTTAATTAATTTATTTTTTAAAAAGGAGAAAACATGATCAGTTCTGTCACCCACGGTTATTAACTCAAGGAAATTTAAAGCTTGTTATTTGCAAGATTAAATTAAGTTCTTATAAGATTTTTATAATGTGTCCCTTCTTTGAGTTCAATCGAAAATGTTATTTTATATTTTTTGAAGACATTTGAATAAAAGAAAGATAAAATTAATTTCACAATATTAACAACGCATTAAAAAAAACACAAATATTTGGATTTTCTCCGATAAATGGGATAAATTGTTTCAAATTTTGTTGGTACTTCTTCGATGTTCTCGGTTTTTCACCAACTCATGTCAATATATTCTCTAATGGAGTTGAACACTTCCACTTATTTTATAGTTATTGGGCTGCAGGCACTGTTAACACAGACACCACTCTTCTATCCATGCAGGCGCGGCTGACACAGTTTGATAAAACCATGAGCCAGAACACACCCTTCGCATTTATTAATGTTTGTGTGTAAAAAAACAACAAACAACCGTTTGTGGAAATAAAGTATTTTAAATTCTAGGTACGTAAATTTAAATCAGTTATAAAGTCACAAAAACTTGAACCAACTTCTAGACTTGATGAAGCTTTCGGAACCGCAACAAAATACAATTCTAGAAGTTCAGTACAATAATTCCATGCTTTTGTTAAAACACGAGATCGCAGGAAGTTATCTAAACGATCAAATTTATTATTTGAAGAAGAAGAGAGTACTTGTTTTTTGTTTTTTTTTAAATTGTCAAAACCAGCTATTCTTGAACCAGTTCTAGCTTTGTAAGCAGTTTTCGTTTTTGTACTCAGCGTTGTTTATAGATGAACGTGTTTTAGGGTTGGTTTGTAGTTAAACATTTATTTTCGCCAAACGTCGTCAGTGCCTAACCTCTACCCACAAGTTTTCTATTAAAATAAACTAAATTTCTTCCTCATAGTCTTTACCTTAAGACGGATAGATCATTCATTAATGTGCAAGGATTATTCTATTCAAATATAATTTTTCTTAAAGAAACGACCATTAAAGTGGATGATGGGATCTAATTTTTAAAGTTTTGTTTGGACAGAAGTGATTATTTGACGATGGAGTTTTCCCTGTGAACAAAAAAAAAAAAAGTTGAACGCTGTAGACAAAGCCACCAATCGTTCTAGCTCGTGTCAATTACAAGTTTTTAATCACTCCCTTACAATTTTGTCTCTTACATTAAAATTAAAAATAAGAGAGTAATTATAAATACGAAATGGTAAAAACACGTTCCTTTTAAACGAGCTCTTGCTTTGTACCCCAGGGTTTTTGGGTGTGTATATAGTTAAACATTTAGTTGAGCATTTCTCGCTGAAGCTTAGCTCTAAAAGTACCTCATGTAGCTATGAAATCAAAGTGCTAAAATAGGCGACGTCACGGCGTTATTAGCCGTCTAGCTTGATATTGGTGACGTCTAGCTACGATGCGCTAAAGATGGCTTAGATTTAGCAAAGGTGATTCAATGCATTTTTTTCGTGATGAAATTTCTACAAGTAACGTTCTACCCCGATTACAAGAAGAAACAAAATTCTAATAGCTGTCATGTTTAATCAATGTTCGGGAGACTTCAGCTTTCAAAAAGTTTCAAATAAAATAAAATAATGTCAATAAAAATGCTTTTCAGTTAGCTTTACCGACACCCCTACTCCCCGTAAAAGGGACCGATATGTTAGCTTTACCGACACCCCTACTCCCCGTAAAAGGGACCGATATGTTAGCTTTACCGACAGCCCTACTCCAAGTAAAAGGGACCGATATGACTTAACCCAGGGTCGCATCAGCTGATATTGATAGTGTTTAAACATGACTTAGGATATTTAAAAAAAAAACAACAACTGAAATCTGACATTATTGTACGATTGAATCAAAAATAAAAATGTTTGAACTTAATTTTCTCAAAATAAAATAATTCAAAAATAAGAAAGGAAAATCTATAATTTCGATAATGAATGTTTGTGCAGAGTTCTCGTTCGTTATTGAAACTCTTAGGTCAGCACAGTTAAGACACTCTTAGGTGGGGTGCTGTTAAGACACTCTTAGGTAGGGTGCTGTTAAGATACTCTTAGGTGGGTGCTGTTAAGACACTCTTAGGTAGGGTGCTGTTAAGACACTCTTAGGTGGGTGCTGTTAAGACACTCTTAGGTGGGTGCTGTTAAGACACTCTTAGGTAGGGTGCTGTTAAGACACTCTCAGATGGGTGCTGTTAAGACACTCTTAGGTAGGGTGCTGTTAAGACACTCTTAGGTGGGTGCTGTTAAGACACTCTTAGGTGGGTGCTGTTAAGACACTGTTAGGTAGGGTGCTGTTAAGACACTCTCAGGTGGGTGCTGTTAAGACACGTGCCTGGTGGTGTGATCCTGGATCTATCTTTAAGCAAGAAACGTTTCGTGCCGCCTCTGAAAGTTTAAAACCATGAATCTCCCAGTTAGAGTTAGGGTTAGAGTTAGAGTTAGCCAGTTTAACGCACCTTCCCCGCGGTCACGTAATTCACTACACATTTTTCCCACGGAAGAGTAAGATTGAACTCATTATCGTCGTTATAATAAAGCTTTCATTGAGTTGTGAACTTCTCAATACTTTTCGAATTTCCAAGTTCGGCTCCGATAAGCAAAACGCTTTGTCCATTGACTAACGTCCGGGGGACAGAGACACCAGAAGCCCTTATGCCGAAGCAGATTAAAAGTGAATACCCTGAACTGAAGGTTAGTAACATGCTTAGAGAGGATGAACTATTTTTTTTTAATTCAACCTATTCTAATTTTCTGACTTCGAAATTAAGAAACATTGAACAGTTCAGGCTTTATATAAAGTCAAAGAAAAAAGGAAGGTCTCAGTTAGTGAACGCTACGTGTATTGCAAGTTGCTGCGTAAATCCGAAATGACAAAATAACACACACAACAAAAAAAACGCACCAGTTAAAGATTCATATTTTCCAAAACATCTCGGCAATTATTTAAAAACTTTGACTTTAAATTGATTTAAACTGTGTCCCTTTGGGGATGTTTTTTTTAAAAAAAATGACACCGCACAACCCCAAGAAATAAAAAACAAAAAACGTTGACTTCTTATTTCGAATCAATTCATTATTCCTACTAAGATAATGCGATGCAATTTCAAAGCAAGGTTTAATTATGTTTACCTTTTCCATCTAAAGATTACATAAAATGGATTTCTGTGCGGACTAACATCGCCCATGTCAGCCCCAGGGCTGTCAGTCAGCACTCCGTGACGCAAATTATTCCACCGTGACTTAACGTTCTGCTTCAGTGAACACCAAAGTCAAAATTGAGATATAGCGGAAAAGCTAAACGCTGGAAAGAAAAAATAGAATTATCTCAATTGTGTTAAGTGATCCGATGAATTTATCGTCATTTCGGGACGGCCGATTACTCCTGCCACTTGGGGTTTTGGTTGGGGGGGGGGGGGCGAATTAAACCGTCGATTAAGCGGTGAAAAAGATTTGTTTTCCAAAAACTCTTTTTTGCCCACCATCCAGCATAATATTTAGGATAAATTCAAGAGATCACTAGCATCCTTACCGTTTCAATGTAGTTATCCGGAGCCCAGGGACTATTTGCCAAATTGACCCACATAACATGATCATTTTTGTTAGAGGCATCTCTGACCTACATAAGGCGCCCCTGCTTGATTTATTCATTAGAGCGTTGCCATTAAAAGAAAAATTTCTCTTCAAACTTTGAGATTGTTCAACACTTGCTTTAAGGGTTCAAATGTCTGTAGCTATTTCTTTCCACGTATTTTCTTTCGCAAACAAATATTTCATTTTTATTTTGGTGTGCGTCTGCATTAAAGTGAATGTATAAGACATAAAGATGAAGGTGAAGAAAAAACAAATTAATGAAGCCAACATAATTCGTAACATTGAGCGTTGCTTGTTTGAATACATTGACACTTAGTTCTTTGCCACCATGAAAATGGAATTCAGTTAAGAAAAGAGTGTGAATTGGCTTACAATGTTTTCAGGATAATTTTCACCGAAAGTAAACTAATGTAAATAAAAATGCTATTCAAAAGAAAATGCTAACTTTGAAAAAAATGTATTTGGAAACAACAGCAAAAATTATAGCAAAAAAAAGCAAACTATATCGCAGAAAATGTTCAAATGAATTGACCTGACGATATCTTTGCTATCCTAAAAATACATCAAAATTTTTAGATTAATTGACGTGGATATGTCTTAGCTACCATAAACAATATATAAACATGGATTTCGGGGAAGACTCAACACTAGGAGATGAAAAGATGTTGGTTGAAGATGCCCAGCTGATCAGTGACGCGGAGCGGCAAATATATGAAGTTGTCACTTTGGTGTTCATCAGCAGCGCCATTGGTCTTTTCGGGATCGTCTCCAACATCATCAACATCATCATCTTCTACAAACAGGGTCTCAACAACACCGTAAACATTGGGTTCATGGGACTGGCTATATCTGACCTCTGCAGTCTCATCACCCTCGAGTGGTACTGTATCGCCTTCAATCCACTTTTCATCAACGCGGACATAAACTTTGTGCCGCCCGAGGTCCAACACCTCAGTGCGGGGATCCCTCACGGCTGCTTCGCCCGCATCACGGCATGGGTGACCGCCTACATCACAGCCGAGAGGTGCCTCTGCATAGCCTCCCCGTTGAAGGTCAAGCAGATCTTGACCCCGAGGCGGACCACCGTCATCCTGTGCGTCATTTACTTTGTCGTCATGCTACCCATGCTGCCCGAGTTCGCCACGGCCTACGCGGGCTGGAAGTTTTACCCCAGCCTGAACAAAACTCTGGTCGGCCTCGTCTTCACCAAAGACAGATACAAGGTCGAGGGTCTGAGTTTTCTCCTCTACGCCATCCTCATGTTCGTGTCCTTCCTGGCGGTCATCGTCTTCACCGCCATCCTCGTCTTTAAGCTCAAACAGAAAACCGAATGGCGTCAGAAGTCGACATTTGACAGCTCGCAATCGGACACCATCTCGAAAAGAGACAAGTCCACGATAAAGATGGTCATCGTCATTGCTAGCATCCTGATCGTAAACTTTAGCCCCACCGTTGCTTTCTTCACGGGTGTCTTTATAGTCCCAGGTTTCAGCATAGCTGGACGGCATCGAAACGTCTTTCTAGTGTCCGCGGCATTCGCGTTTATCTTCGACGCGGTAAATTCCAGCGTCAACATTGTGTCTTACTACACGATGAGTTCTAAATATAGAAAGACTTTCCAGGAAGTCTTCACTGCTTGCACTAGATGGAAAAATACTTTTGAAAAAAATAAAAAAAAAAAAAAAAAAAAAAAAAAAAAAAAAAAAAAAAAAACTTTTTAAACTAAAACAATATATTTTTAAAATTGAAGTTGACCATCTTATGTGGTGTGTGTTGGCCTAATTGTATCACTGTGTTCGCCACCACTTATCCCCCTTTTGTTTTGTTTTGACCACGACGTCCTTATTAAATGTGCTGCGCCGCCGCTTTGATTGGTAAAAGGTTGTTTACGTTCAAATACGGTCTATTTGTTCTAAAGAATGCCATAACCTATCAGCTGACGCAATTTCTGAAATGTCTTTACAACAAGATACTAATATAAACCTTATATATATATAAAGAGAGAGAGAGAGAGAGAGAGAGAAAGAGAGAGAGAGAGAGAGAGAGAGAGAGAGAGAGAGAGAGAGAGAGAGAGAGAGAGAGAGAGAGAGAAGAGATATAGAGAGAGATCAGCAGCTTTTCTAGCCCGGAGAGATTTTTGCAAAATTTCCTCGACATTTTCGAGATGTTATGTACATGCAAGTTTGTATTCTTTATACGTGTATGTAAATTAATATTATTGCATCTTTTGNTATATATATATATATATATATGTATATATAAGTATGTATATAAACAAAGAAGAACGCCTCAGATATTTTGAAAAATGTTTCTACCACAAGCTGCTGTGCAAATCAAAAATTACAAAATTACGACAATTACGTCAATTAATAATTCATATCTTTAATAAATATCAAAATGTGTATTCTAGGAAATAAATTAAAACTTTGACTTTAAATATGGTAAACAAACCATATACCAAAGAAAATGTTCAGCTAAATAACCTGAATATATCTTTGCTACCCTAAAATGAACATCAAAAAATTTACATGAATTGACCTGGATGTACAATTTGCCACCGGTACCCTAAAATAAAGATCAACATGGATTCCGGGGATGACTCAACTCAGGACGATAAAAATCTTTTGGTTGAAGATGCCCAGCTGATCAGTGACGCGGAGCGGCAAATCTATGACATTGTCACTTTGGTGTTCATCACCAGCGCCATCGGTCTTTTCGGGGTCGTCTCCAACATCATCAACATCATCATCTTCTACAAACAGGGTCTCAACATCACCGTCAACATCGGGTTCATGGCGCTGGCTATATCTGATCTCTGCGGCCTCATCACCCTCGAGTGGTACTGTATCGCCTTCAACCCACTTTTCATCAACGCGGACATAAACTTTGTGCCGCCCGAGGTCCAACACCTCAGTGCGGGGATCCCTCACGGCTGCTTCAACCGCATTACGGCATGGGTGACCGCCTACATCACAGCTGAGAGGTGCCTCTGCATAGCCTCCCCGTTAAAGGTCAAGCAGATCTTGACCCCGAGGCGGACCACCGTCATCCTGTGCGTCATTTACTTTGTCGTCATGCTACCCATGCTGCCCGAGTTCGCCACGGCCTACGCGGGCTGGAAGTTTTACCCCAGCCTGAACAAAACTCTGGTCGGCCTCGTCTTCACCCAAGACAGATACAAGGTTGAGGGTCTGAGTTTTCTCCTCTACGCCATCCTCATGTTCTTGTCCTTCCTGGCGGTCATCGTCTTCACCGCCATCCTCGTCTTTAAGCTCAAACAGAAAACCGAATGGCGTCAGAAGTCGACGTTTGACAGCTCGCAATCGGACACCATCTCGAAAAGAGACAAGTCCACGATCAAGATGGCCATCGTCATTGCTAGCATCCTGATCGTAAACTTTTGCCCGACCGTGTCTTTCTTCACGGGCGTTTTTATAGTACCAGGTTTCAGCATAGCTGGACGGCATCGAAACGTCTTTCTAGTGTCCGCGGCGTTCGCGTTTATTTTCGACGCGGTGAATTCGAGCGTGAACATTGTCACTTTCTACAAAATAAGTTCTAAATATAGAAAGACCTTCCAAGAACTCTTCGCTGCTTGCAGTATGACGAAAAATACTGTTGCAACGAAGTAAATGTTTTTTTTAAAAAGCGTTACTGTGTGCATTACTGGCTGAAAAAGCCTAGAGACATTTTTTTTTAAAAATCAAACGAAGAACACATTTTGCAAAAGATATCAATAAATATGAAATTTTTAAAGTACAAAATGCCTCTGTTTTGGCATGTGTGTTGGCCTAATTTTAGCACTGCGGATACTCCCACTTGTCTAACCTTCGTTTTGTTTTAAAAGTGACGTCCAAATTTAAAAAAAAGTGCCTCTCGTTTTTACCCGCCTCTATCTTAATTGGGAAACGGTTGTTTACGCCCTAACACGTTCTATCTGTTCGCATGAAATGCTTTAATCTATCAGGTGACGCAATTTCTAGATTTTCTGTACTAAAGGATTCTAATTGAATCCCTATATATATAATATATATATCTATGGGAATATATGGTCCTTGACCATATATATAGGCCTGCAGTTTACATAGCCGGGAGTGACTGTTGCTAGTTTTCGAGACGTTATGTCATTGCAATATTGTACTGTTCATGCGTGTGTGTAAATTAACATTGATATCTTTCGAGGGTCGTACCTCTTTCACTTGCTGTTCTGTAAGTTGATAAAGCTTTTTCTTTCTGTTTATTTCAATTTGGATTTTTTAAAATCACATTTAGTGGCATGGTTAGTTTGAATATTGTTAGTACAACTAGCGTTGGTGTCGTTTTCTTTGTATACTGGTTTTCCGCGTTTTGTGAAGTATTCTTCACTCTACCAGCCAAATTTTAAAACATTTTTAAATTTTGAAAACCCCTTGACGGTACGTAACAGCTCCGATTCCATTTTTAAGTATACTGTAATATTTCTTCACCTACCCATTTATATTCTGAAATTTGTTTCCAGTGCTCTCTGTCCTACCAAACAGTGCTCTCTGTCTAAAAAAAAAAAAAAAAAAAAAAAAAAAAAATAAAGAAAGAGAGAGAGAGAGAGAGAGAGAGAGAGAGAGAGAGAGAGAGAGAGAGAGAGAGAGAGAGAGAGAGAGAGAGAGAGAGAGACAGAGAGAAGAGATTTAGAGAGAGATCAGCAGCTTTTCTAGCCCGGAAAGATTTTTGCAAAATTTCCTCGACATTTTCGAGATGTTATGTACATGCAAGTTTGTATTCTTTATACGTGTATGTAAATTAATATTATTGCATCTTTTGAGGGTCTCACTTTTTCCACTAGCTGTTCTAAAAGTTGACATAGATTTTTGTTTCTGTACTTGTGCATTGGCCTTCTCGTACCAAATGTAGTGGTATAATTCTATTTGAATACTGTTAGTATCACTAGCTTTGATATTGTTTTATTCGTGGGTCTAGTTTCATACGTTTGTTTTGTAGTGTTACTTCTAAAAGACAAGTCTTTACAAACATTAATTTTTCACAACCCTAATAACGTTACGTAACAGCCCCCTTTCTCGTTTTCAAGTATGTTTAAATATTTCTTCACTCACCATCAATGGTCTGAAGTTTGTCTCCCCCCCCCCCCATTCACCATGAAACTACCGTTCACCATTCACGAGTTATGAGGAACGTCCCGACATTAGCTCCATCAACCCATCCGGTCATTGCGTACGGATCATTACTCTTTAATTAACACGTCACGCCATAAAAGAAAAAGAAAAAAAAAAAAGGAAAAATCACCAGGGCAATTAAAAACTTTGTAGAACGTTCTGTTAAACAAATGGGTTCACCCGGGATTCTATTGAAACATACTGATGTCCCCTGAATAGTTTTGTTTACTCAAGTGTTAGAGCTGATATTCAGTAAGGTTATCTTCGTTGTTTTTTTTTGTTTTTTTTCTACTTCTTTCACTATCTTATGTCAAGTTTCTCCTCCAGGGAGAAACAAAAAAAATGGTTAGTGACGGACGAGTCATCCAAAGAGGAATGTGTTGATTTTTTTTTTTAATTTGTCTTTTGTGTGTAAGCGTAGCGCTAGAGCAGCGTAAGTGATTCCCCAGTTTGGAAGCATTTCGGACTAAAAATGATAATCGGGAAAACTGTCAAAATAAAAATACGAACGTCATAAGAAAAGGTAGTTGATCGTTTTATTGATCATTTTGGCTCATATGCATGTAGATGGGATTTGCAATGTTTCTGTTCCGGTGTTGATGAGGAAATTTCATTGATTTCCAGTGCTACTTTATGAGGAAATCATGCACTAGGGGTTTGAAGGCTTGAGGCAATAGACACAAATGTGTCTAGTGTTGTCGCCTCAACCGTTGGAAAACTTTCTAACAAGGTCAGGGACTAACAGAACCCGTCCTTACTCCAGCTCCTATACTGGCTTCTTGCTGGTAGGAGCCTGAATTGCCTGTCATGGCCTCGTCGCTGTCTATGGGGGAGAGGGACGAGTTTCTGTTCAATACTGGAACAGTGGACCAGCCCATTATTTATCTTGTACATCATGGAGAGCCTGGATTGTCATCGTCGTTTCTCCAATGGTGACCAGCCTAGTGTTTCTAGCATGCTGCCAACACTAGAGGTATTCCTGTAGCGGTTTAGGACAAAGCGTGCTGCTCGTCGCTGGACCACCTCCAACCTGTCAACGCTCTTCTGCGTGAATGGATCCCCAGAATGAAGATGCATAATCTAAAACCGGACGGACAAAGGCTTTATATGCTCTTTCTTTTACATAGGAGTTGCCAATCTTTAGATTTCGCCTTAAGAACCCCAGGGTCTTGTTTGCTTGGTTACATAGATTGTTAATATGCTTGTCCCAGCGGACCTCTCTTTGAATGGTAACACCCAGGTACTTTACGGAAGAAACTGGCTCAAGTATATGGCCGTGCAGTTCGTATTGGTAGTGTAGAGGAGTACAACTTCTAGAGACTGATAGTGTCTGGCAACTGGCAGGGGGAAATTCCCTGTCCCAGCTCATCTCCCACTCAGCTAACAGATTGAGATCCTGTTGTAGCTGGTCCTGGTCAGATCTGTTGGTGATCGTCCTATACACCGCTGTGTCATCTGCGAACAGTCTTGCTTGCGATGTCAGTTTCTCGGATAGGTCATTAATGTATGCTAGGAACAAACAGGGGCCCAGCACTGATCCCTGGGGGACCCCTGACTTCACATCGACAAAGGAGGAGCTTGTACCGTCCACCACTAATGCATCGGTGGCTGAGGAAGCTAGAGATCCATGTTTTAGTGGTGCCTTGAATCCCATATTTCTGGAGTTTGTGTAGAAGCAAACTATGATTCACACGGTCAAATGATTTTGCGAAGTCCATTACCAGCACGTCAGTCTGCTTGTGGTTCTCCAGATTGGTCATCAGGTATTCTACAAATTCAAGAAGCTGGGTCTCCCATGATCTATTGACTCGGAAGCCATGTTGACAGTCATTGGGAATTTTTTGGCTTTCAGGATGGTTCATGACTGTGCTTACGATTATGTGCTCTAACACTGATGCGTTTTCGGGTGTTTATCCTCCGTGTTAAACACTAGAGACTCAATAAAAATATGAGTGACCCTCAAGCCACAGAATGTCAGCGCGGGGCTAATATGTGGCCAGCTGATGAATGTCCGGTCAGGGGGTGATGTTGAGGGCGCTTTTAACAAGGTTTTGATCTGCTGGAGGTACACGACGCTGGAAGTATACAATCGTGGTTTGATCTTTTGTACCGTTCTGTTAAATATCATAAGTGTTAGATAAATTAGCTGTACACATTCCCAGGTGGACGTTTGACTTCGCTCTACGGTTGAAACAACGGCCAGTTTCAGAGATTTCAAGGAAATTAAGTTGTATTTAATTATATTTTTGTATACTTTTTCTTTTAATTCCTTGTTTTTTTAAATAAATATTTTCAAGGCTCACGGAATGGAAACGAACGCGCGTAGCTTTTAAATTTTATAGCAGTTGAATGACTATTCCCCTCCCATGTATTCAATTGATTGGAAAGATCTGTTCTCTAAACAAACATATAAAAAAAAAACGTAACTGTGTTAAATTTTTTTCTAAAGCAATTATTCATGTTTAAAAAATTTTTTAGTCTACATTTAAAATATACATCAAGTGTATTTTTCAAAAAAACCCTACCATCTTTACAATTGTTTTAAAAAAACTGAGTTGGGGGATACTTTTAAGATAAGTATTGCCGTGTGACTGGGACAGCTGACAATCTCAGCCAAGGGAAACTAATGATTGTTATATTTAAAAAATAGTTATTCTCCGCCCCTGCCCCCGTCCCTCCACCCCCCCCCCACACACACCCTTGTATGACTATTATTGAAGACAAATATTTCCTATTTGGTTGTTGCTTTTGTTTTGTTTCTGTATTTTTTTTTTTCGTTTCTACTTTTCAACAGTAAGTAAAGGGATCGATGCACGGTAGTCGTCTTCATTATGGGGGCGTGGTTCTACTTTCGCTTTCAACTGCCATGGCCGAGATCATATAACAGGATAGCTACTTAAAGACAAACAAACGAAACAATTCTGTTTAGAGGATAATTTTGAATCTCTTAGCAAGTAATTATGTAAATACCCGAAGATTAAATACACTACTTAGTTCGTCTTTTAGAAGATTTGTATTCGAATATTTTTTTTCTAATAGTTCGTGTTAAAACGAATACTAACCTCTAACTCTCAAAGTGGGTTGTATTTGTATTGAACAGCTCCTTATAATTATTAGGATACCTTATTGTTCGTCACAAAAATATGCTAAAGAAAATTAGATAATCTATTCCATTTTTTTTTTTTACACAAGTCTCGCGAGAATTCAATCTTGACAAGATTTTTTTTTTTACTTTAAAACTATAAAAACGTGTCTTCTTTAGCTCCGTAGAGACTTCTACAACTGTTCTTGGTTGAGTATAAAATAAATATGTGTCGACTCTTAACTTGATTCCAAAATAACGTTGAGCATTCAAAAGTTGCATTCTCGGATTCACAACCGAGTAGCTTTGAAAAGGATGAAATAGTTTTTAATGAAAATATTTGCAAAAACAGCAAACTGAAAAAAGTTGTTCTCATTTTTGTTTGTTTGTTGTTGTTTTTTTTTTGTTGTTGTTGTTTTTAAACAAGAATATGTTAATTTTCTTATTTTGTGCAAATCATAAAATTAAAATTTCATATAATCAATCAAATGACTAAAATACATTGAAGGAAAATGTATGAATATGCATGCTTTACCTATGAAAAAATATAGGCGAGGAAAACAAATATTTAACAATAGAATACTTGCAGGAGCTCATATGCAATAATAAACATCACCTAAACAATCTGATATTAAGTATAATAAACAAGGGACTGCGTTCAAGGTGTGTGAAGGAAATAGTGGAACAAGGTGTGTGGAAGCTTGGAATATAAAAAGCCAGGACAGTACGTTGTCTTACACACGCCTGGTTATGGTGGCGGTTAACTTAACCAGTGAGGACGATATCAATGTCGACGTCGTCTCGGCCAAAGCCCAGCCGCCCTACGTCCCGGAGGCGTGGCACGTGTTAACGGTTGAATGCCTGACCGCGGTGATAACGGTTATCGCCTTCATCGGCGTCGCGGCCAACGTCATTAACGTGATCGTGTTCCATCGGCAAGGCCTCAAGACCACTGTGAACATAGGACTCACCGGCTTGGCGGTGTCCGACCTCTGCAGCCTCCTCACTCTGCCGTGGTACATCCCGATGGCGAAAACGTTCCCCAAAGGCGCGGGTCTAAACATATTCTACCACGACGCTCAGCAGCTGACCGTGGGGTTCCCACACGCCTGCTTCACGAGAACCACCGCGTGGCTGACGGTGCTGCTGACCGCTGAGAGATGCCTCTGCGTGGCCCTCCCTCTGAAGTTTAAACGAACCATGACGCCGAGGCGAGTGCGGCTGGCGGTTTGTTTCGTGTACTTCATCATGTTTGTCTCACTGTTACCCGAGTACACCACAGCGTACCTCGACTGGAATTGGGATTCCCGGGCAAACGTGAGCGTACTTGGTATCTTCTTTGCCCCCAACAGGCAACAGACGGAAGGGATCAGCTTCCTCCTCTACGGCATCTACGCCCTGGTGGCATTCCCGGCCGTTGTGTTATCCACCTCCGTGATGGTGGCTAGGCTGAAACAAAGTTCAGTCAAGCGTAAAATGATGAATTCAAGCATCGTCGGCGTGGGGGCGGTCTCGAGGCGTGACCAGAAGGCGATAAACCTCGTCATAGCCGTCGCCTGCGTCTTCATCATTACGTACATCCCAATGGTCCTTATTTGCTTACAGGCTTTCATAGAACCGTCGGCCACCCCGGCCAACAACGGGCTGGTCCATGTGGTTGTTTCTGCTGGTTTAGTTTTCGACGCCATCAATTCCAGCGTTAATATTATCACCTACTACACCATGAGCTCAAAGTACAGGAACCATTTCAACGCCCTCTTGTGTCTGAAGACCAACACGTTAAAAGGCTTCGCTAACGTTGATGCTAGTGTAAACGTCAGATTCTAAGTCCTGATACTTTATACTTTTAATTTCCAACCACATCCTGGAATCATGCTTAATGTTTGTGATAGCATACAAATCGAAATGTTTTGAATCCAGGTCTCTCAGTTATACAGTTACAGGTCTCGTGTAGAACATCCGCACATCTTTTTGTATTCTGATAGGCTTTTTTTTTTTTAAAATTCATTTTCTAAATATAATTTCGTTGTAAAATTCATTCTTCCACGTACAAGTGTATATTACTTTTAAGTTAAAATTTTGACCCCCCCCCCCCAATCCCCCCCCCCAAAAAAAAAAAAAAAAAGACTTGATGAACTTCACACCACACATACACGAACATACACGAACATACACGAACATACACGAACATACACGAACATACACGGACATATTTTCGGTAACATTTCACGATAAAACATTTGGAGGCTAACTCCTTGCGTGAGTTCCTTAACATTATTATTTTTTAAAATAAGAGTTGCACATTTCCTGACGTCTTTCTCAAGACATGGTTCACGTGACATTGCAATCAACACACGCAAGCGCCCTCTACTTCCGGTGCATTCATTTACGCATATCAAATGATCATGTCCTTTTTATTTTAAAAAAGCGGCTATGGCCGTGTAGAAAATACTTTTTTTTTAAATTTTGTTATTTTTATAAATATACATTGAATCGACATAAATGCCCTTTCATAAACATTTTTTTTTCAGTATATAAAAAAACAACACTGGGACTATATACATATATAAATATGTTATAGATTTTTGTCTAGCGCTGAGACCCCTCAAACTGAAGTTTTTTCGAAATTGCTTCAGGTGGTCGACGACTGCAGAGCCAAAACTTTGAAATAATAATCTCTAATTCAAATTGGTCAAGTTCACAACAATAACAAATCGTAGAGTTAACTTCGTTTGTGCATCTTGGGACACCAGGATATAACGTGCATAATGTCTTTACTTGTTTTTATTATTTTAATTTGTTAAATTTCAATTCGCTAACACTGTAGGACCCGACGAGGACCTTTAAGCTTTCATTTCCCATCAACCTTCATTATATTATGTTAAACTGCATTTTCTGTCAATTATTTTCATTGGATAAAAAAAAACAGCCACCGTTTGAAAGTCAGGCCAGCCTTGAGATTAATCTTGAACTTCTTTGTCTACTAGTTTTGATCAAAACCGTTGGCTGAGCCAAATGCAAATGTCCTTATAAGCTGACCAATACATTGCTTTGAAAAGAAGAATATATTTCCATTTTGTATTTTTAGCGCATTGTATCTCTGAATGCATGGTCCTTATCCGCAACTGTGAAATGTGACAGCAAGGGTGACCTTTTGACTGACCAGTATTGTCGTCGTGTGTACCGCCTGACCTTGGTGACCGGACTGTCCTGTTTTGGTTGTCAAGTTGCCTGGCTGGACGTGGACGTCTTTTCAAAAACGGTCTAAACTTAAATGTATGAATATAGGTTCGGATTACTGGAGTGAGTCGTCATGTGATTTTGGGGGTATAAATTGTATGTAGAATTGAAAATAAAATTAGTTGTCACATAGAACACAGCCTTGAGTTCTAAAATATGCTATCACAATGACCATACAGTCACCAATGTGATTTGAAATGTTGTCCTCTGGTGTTAATAAACCTCACCACTGGCTTCCTGTGAGTGAGCGCATTAGCCACAAAATTCTGTCCCTGGCGTACAGCTGTATAGAAGGGGCTCTGCACCTGATTAGCTTAAAGAACTTACATCAAAACATATATCCTTAAAGAGCCTGTGCGATCTTCGTCGCAGTCCTTACCCAGAGTTCCCAGCGTGGATGGACACAGAAAGAACTCCTACGGAGCAATAGCGCTTAAATTATGGAACAGTTTGCATCAGTCTTTGAGGGATTTAAAAAAAAAAAATTATTTAAAAAATCATTCAAGACATTTTTCTTTAAAAATATCTTATGACATAAAAGCGCTTTGAGCATGACTACAACAGCACGGACACAAGCGCTATACAAGTAATCAATCATCATCATCAATTTGGGGAAACACACACAAAGCCAAATAAATAACTAGTATTTTATTCTGATGGCCAGGTTTTGACATCGAGGCGTCAATGACCAGTCAGTACAACAACTCCATTGAGCGTTGTTTTCTTCTCTGACTCCAGCTGTCCCTTTCTTTCATCCGGTTCATAGACTCCCCTTTTATAATCCGCCATCATGGATGACGACAAGGGGTCAAGGTCAAGAAATGAAAGTATGACTTCTGTTCTAATTAAACATCCGCTGGGGCTGTGGACTATGCGACAGCTGGTAAAGCTCTTAGGAATAGTTCACTGCAGGCAGATGACAAATTTCAGTGAAGCGAAGAAATGTCAAATTGTTTAAGATATCATCTAACAACCACCAAAAGCAAGGTTTTTTTTTCCTATAAATGTAAAAATCCTTTATAAAAATGTAATATCGAGCAGTGAGAGTCGGGGCTGAAAAGTGAGAAAACATACACTTTTTATGAGAATCTTAATGAGTGCTGCCCCCACTCCCCCCCCCCC